AAATCTATAGGCATAAGATGGATTTATCTGAAAATTAGAATAAGCATTTTGTATTGTAAAAAAAAAAATTCAAATTTTGAGGAGTTAAATCCAGTGTTGTTCATATTGGACTGAAATCAAATCTAATCAATCAAATCATTTGATGAATCAATCTATAAATCAATAAATTATTTAATCTATCAATTATTTAATCTATCATTTGCGCAATCAAATTAATTGATCAATCAACTAACAATAGTTGTGACAAGTCATCAGAGTTTATTGTTGATAAGTTAATATTGTACCCATTATTTTTTATATAATATTTATTTCTAACATTTTCAGTATCATATGGTTTTATGCTTTTCTAAAATTAAAAATAAAAACCTTTTCTACTATACACGGGGTTCCTTTTTCAAGAGAAAGTGTCAAAAACAACCCAAGAAATACATCATCATCAGGAAAATAACCACAATTATCTATACTGATCATCAGCTTTCTCATAAACATGCCAGTAAATGGGCATGAATTCCAATAAATTATAGCCAAAGCATGTCAATGAAGAGATGAATTTCCTAACGATTTCAATCTCTGATGATCATTGTCACTTTACTTTCAAGGACATGTTTCCAATTACTGTATATTTAAAAAGTAAAGTGCAGGATACAAATTCTTTACTTATTTGATTATTGTTCAGGGGGAACACAAGTGATTACTTTATTGATAGTGAAATGCGAATACACAAAATTAATTGACATATTGGTATTACTATTAATTTAAACATTGTATGGCTAAGTTTAAAAAATATAATTAATTGAATATTTTAGTCAATGCTTTTATACACTTAGGATTTAATTAAAACTTGTGGGAAAAAATACTTTCTTCACAAATAGACAAACATGTAAACAATCAAGTTCCTACACTTTACATAGATCCTTGACAAAGATTTTTAAAATGAAAAAGTGAAAATTAAATAAGCCAAATCGTAGTTTGAACTGCAGATGCCCGTATCGAAGGTGAATCAACATTAACCTACGTTGTGTGTATGTTTGTTTTGTCGATTAACCTCGATATGGGCATGCGCAGCTCAGACTAAGAAATGGCTTATTGTTTAGATTTGTTTCTTCTCATAAGTGCACATAAGGCTAAATTATTTTATCCTTTTCAATAAGATTTAAAGTTTTAATATAATTTTCAGGGTTTTACCAGATTTTAACATCAGACAGTCTCATTGGGATCAAATTAAAAAATAAGCCAGCATTTGTTAATTTTATGGGTTTATCCTGGTTCTCCATTCACTCTGGTTTTATTATTATTATAATAATAAATACGGCCACAAGCCCTGATGGTATTTCAAATAGAGTATTAAAGACATGAATCACAAAATTAATTTATGTATTTAACTTACTAAGACAACTTACTTTTATAACTTTTTAGAAAATGGAGTAATTCCTCCGGGGTGGTACCAGCAGGGGGAGGAGGTCCGGGTTCCTCGTCAGGGAGAGCTGGAGTGGAGGCATCACCCACCCCCCCCCCCGGGTGGGGGACCTCGGCTCCCCCTCACTGGTTGGGCAAATCTTGGCACCGCCCCTGAATTCCTCAAGTTTGAATAACACCTGTAGTCCATCATTTGCCAAAATCTAAAATCCAAGTGAGCCTTAAGCCGGGCATTCGGATTCTGTAACGGATGCAACGTTATGACGCACGTGCAACGAATCGTTTTTACTGGCGATCCATTTAGACTGCCACTGACAATCAGCATACAACGTCACGTCGTCTAGCGCTCTCAGAGAGTAGGGATAGATTCGTCGGCCATACGCGACGTTATATGCTAATTGTTGGTGGCAGTCTAAACGGATCGTCATTAAAAAATACGATCTGTTGCACGCATGTCATAGAGTTGTGCTGGTCGTACAACGGAGAGTGCCCAGCTTAATGACTTTCCTCCAATTGCTCTAATTAATCAAATGCCTTGAAATTGTATTGGATTTGAATAGCTCAGTGGTTAAGATGCTTGCTTTCTGACCCCAGGGTCCTGGGTTCAATTCCTGTCACAACAGGACTTTTTCTCACTACCTAAACCTACTCCCGTCTCTAAGCCTCATAAACAGACTTAGTTTTTAAAGCATCATTCTCATCCTGTAAGTGGCAAGTGAACTTCTTGTTGGATGTGAAGGAAATAAATTAAATTTTGAAAGGATCCTTGATAAGTTAAAATGTGTTCAAACCATGACCAGCATCAATTGGCATATAAGAAAAAAAAAAGTATAGATAATGCTCTTTTATATTCCCTCCACAATGTTAACAAAAAATTAGGACACCCTAGAAAACATTTTGAGTGCCTCATGTTCTTAAATCAAGCTTATCGATTTTAATATACCACCTACTGTAAGCTTGCTTTTTTTTAACAGATTGTCCTCAATGTGCAATCATAGCATCTCAGACACTAGGTTTTTAAGCCCTGAATATCCTCAGGGCTGTGCAATCTCACCTATATTTTTTTTTTCTTTTAATACAAGTGATTTTAATATTTTAATACTACTACTATAATGATGCCAAATATTTATATAGCGCAAATTTTAAATTGAATGATCAAAGGCACTGAGCGATATTTAAGTAGCAATTGCAATATGATTATAGTACTGCATGCAGATTAAACTGTGCGGTTTCTTTGTGATTGTGCGGTTTCTTTGTGATTGTGCTCAAGAATGTTTTATGGAAATAAACAGATTTGTTGATTGTGACCAAAATAACTTGTATTTAAACAAAAGCATGAAATAAGGAATTATTTTTGACTTTCGTAAATCTCCTTTAAATCATGACTCTATGATAATAAATAATCAAACCATTGGAAAAGTATCAGAACACAAATATCGAGGAACTACTGTATGATAAACAGAATACGAATATAAATTCACAATTTAATACTAGCTATTAAGAAAACTAAATTAATTTGTTGTTTTTTTTTACTACTTTTTAAAAAACTAAAAGAACTGAGAGTAAGCAATAAAATAACGAGTGATATTTTTAAAATTTTTTGTCACTTTTTTTTACTTGGTCTTACTCCTTATGGTGCACTGTATGTCCTTTTGCAATTTGAATATTTTGTCTTTTTTAAATGTTAAATGTTTTTAAATTTGAAAAACTGTACAACCAAAATTTCTTTACTTGTATACGAGGACAAATACAATTTTTTGTATCTTCTATTACTGTATTTTTCAATCTTTTTCATTTTATCTTTTGTATTTTGAGTAGTTCAATTTTAATTCAATTCCATTAAACACTTTTTGAATAGATTTTATTTTAACTCTAACTAATTTGTTACTTCGTTGTTTGTATGAGCTGCTTTTTTGTATGTGCTGCATGATTTTATATTTTATGGATTTTATGTATTTTATTGTATGTATATTGGAATGTTTTCTCTTAAGGGAGGTGAATAAACTGAATTGAATATTACAGAAAAGAGTTGGCAGATCATAGATATGGTTCAAGTAATATAATCCTTTTCTTTTGCTTTTAGATTCTTGTTTCAGCACATTAAAACCAACCTTTAATTACATACATAAAAAACATACATCACGTTAAAGTACACTTCGCCAGTAGGGAGTTGACCTGGTGGCAATTAGTGCAACTGACGATTAATGGCAAAGTACACAATATGGTAAAAAAATTTACCAATTAGGGAAAAAAACAATGTGTTACAAAAAAATAATCTGCAATTGGTCAGATATTACTAGGTAAGAAGGTAAATCATATAGGAACTATGGCTAGAATTGAATGAAAAATGTTTTTGAAAATCATATTGACAACCCACATTAGCCTACTTTACTTTAGCCTATATTTTTAAATGACAGTAAAATCAATTCATTGCGTACTGGCATAATAATTTTGATTTATGTAGCGTCTCACATTCAAGTAACCTTACGGCACTTAACCTGGTAACTGACAGTGCGAGTCTAAAATCGCTGATTAGACTCAATATACTGTTGAGTGTTAGTATTGTTAGTATTTTAAGCTTGGTTTTTTTGTTTTAAATGATATTATTGTTATCTCTTGACATTTAGGGCTTGCAAATGCCATACCCAGCATCGGTGACCAAAACAAGAAAACTGACTTTTTAATACCTGTATAATATATACATATTCTCCACATTATAACCTCTAAAAGGACTTACATTTACTGGAATCAACTTACTAATTGCAAAAGTGAGTAAAAGTATTAATACAGCTTCTCTGTACTAAAGTACACATTCTAATTACTCAGTTTAACATTTAGCGACAGTACACTAGTTTTTTTTTTTGGGATGGCGAGCCTCGTTTAATAAAACATGTTTATCCCTGCTGTATCTTTACGAAAGCAGTATTTGGTCAATCCTTTCCCTGTCATAGCTGGATCAGTCCAGCCATCAGAGCCAATCAACAGTACTTTCAACACAAATCCTTGACTCAGAAATGCCAGGATGGTCTCTAGCGGTGGAACGTTTTATCCTAGTTAAGTGTCATCCCTCAAAGAAGATTTCGAAACTGATAATTACAGCCCCTTCACCAGACCTCGAAGCTACCAGGATAGTGCCCAATGGGGATTTTTTTTTAAAACATTTTAGTATTATTATTTCAAGAATGAACCTGGAAAATTGGTTTCAAGTAATGTGTTTTTAAGTGTACTATGACAAAATTATAATTTAAAATTAAAAATATATAATGTTAAAATAATGTCTAAAAACCTGTCTCTTTCCTAAGGAGTATGTTTTATATTACATATTTTGTTCTGCTTCTTGTTTAATTGTTATTTATCACCATTTGAGTTTAATTTTTTATTTCTTGTGTTTTTCAACTTCGTAAGGCACTTTGGTCTTTGTGGAAAAACGCTTGATAAATAAATAAATAAATATGTAAATATATATACATATATATATATATATATATATGTCTAGATGTGTATAAGAGACAGTATATATATATATATATATATGAATAAAAATAAATAAATAAATAAATATTGATTGAATGCATAGAGCTCACCTTAACCTAACGCAGGCACCACATCTGGAACCTCCATACGCTCTTGTGACATGTTTCTTAGTCTGCGAAATTCGCATCAACTTCTTGGGGCGAGCTGCAACAACCTAATAAAAATAATAATAAAAAAAGAATATTTATATTAATTCAGATCTTTTTAAAATTACACTTAACATAAATTATTTTTTTTGAGAAAATCCAAAAAATTGGTAGGTCGTTAGAAAAATTTTTTTTTTTTTGTTGTTTTCTTTTTTTTTAACCATTAATGTGTTTATGCCTAAGAAGTAGAAAATACACAAAAATACAACAAAGACCATTTTTAAATCTCTATTGAAGAGCCTACCATCGGAAGAATATACCTATTCCAACCTTTCTTTTCTCATTAAATTTTTTTTCGATGTAGTAAAAAAAAAGTACTAAAATGCTGACTCTCAATTTCAAATTTTTTAGGTCGGTCGGGCGTGGCCAACACCCAACTCAATAATTTTTTTTTTATTTGGCCTTATTGGTGGTTACAAGTTGCTTGCCATTTAAGAATCATCTGTGTGAATCTTCCAAATAAAGATTTTTTTTTCTCATGACCTCCTAACCCTCATAATGAGAGTTAGTTTACAGAGCATCACATTAAAGTTATTTAGAAAAGCTGACCTTTTCAGCTGGAACAGTCACCATCAATAAAACACAAATAAAAACTGTTAATGAGATTTAAATATAGTGAATTGATTACATACTGTTAAATATCAGACGTGAAGTCTGATACTCCCTGATATTATTTGCTACTGAATACACTTAAATTCTACAAAATAAGAATAAGAGTGAAACACATCCATTGGGAGAATTTAGCTAATAAAAGATGATGATCCATTTAAAAAATGAATGTTATGAACACTATCTTAAATGGAATATTTGATAGAATATGAAGACTCAGCATATAATTTTGGACAAGAACTGGGTGAGGGTATGATAGGCCAGAGGCTACTCGTCCATTCTAATATTTAAAAAACAAATCACCTAGTTTATTACTACAAACATGTGTGACAGAAGTAATCTTCATACCGTATTTAATCTGAAATTACTTTTTTCTGAAATAGAAGCCATGGAAAAGACAGTTCTGAGTTTACACGCTTACACCAATTATTTGGTTTTGTTTCAGTATTTTTATTGAGTATGATACTCCAATACTTTATGCCACTCTGTCTATGGCAGTCCATAGGTACACCACTTGTAGATGGTGGTGTAGATGAACCTACAAGAACGTACAGAGTACTACAGTAAATTACTGATGTCACACCACCACCTAATATGACGACTCTTATAGGGAGCAGCTTAGCTGAAGCAGCTTAGCTCAGTCAGCAAATCTGGTGGTAGAAACTGTGTGTGCGCTGAACCGTGAAGATCTCTATTTCACCGGGTCAATTCCCAGTTCAATTTCCCGTTCAATTCCCATCGCTGCTCTCCTTGTGTTCCAGCTGGAGGGCTGAAATACAAGTTACGATAATGCACCGTCTTTTGGATGAGACATTTAAGCTGTTGGTCCTGTGTTTGATATGGCCCATGTACATGTTGAAGAACGCAGTACTCTCTTCGGAAAAGAGTAGGGGATTGTCAACTGGTGTACTGCCCAATTCATCACCAGAAGGATCACATTTCCTGGGTTATCCTCGGTGTGATTCACACAAAAATACTTATTTATGTTTTATGTTTATGTTTATTATTTATTATTTATGTTATTTATTTTTATTATGTTTTATGTTTATTTATGTTTAGATTTGGGAAAAGTATCCAACAAGGGATTCTGCCAAAGTGGATGACAGTAGGGTCTTGTACAAATCCTAGAGGAACTGAACATTCTTGGGCCATACTATGCTGTTCTATAATTTTCATTAAGAATTTATTTTTTTTTTACCCCAGTTTTCAAATGTATATTTTAATTTAATAACTTAGTAAACTCATTATTTCAGATAACGAATACATGGCCAATTTGTGTTTTATTTATTTTCTTAAAATCAAATAGTTTGGTTTTGATACATCAGTTGAAAAAGCTGTGAAAAATATGGCTTATATGTGCAGGCACTCAGCCTCAACAATGACCTCTTTGTAGGTAGATGCTCATCAATGAACTGATACAAATGAAATAAGTATAGTAGCACGTTTTTTACGCTAACGAAATGTATCGAAACACAAGCTTTCACTAGCTTCATCAGGTGAATCAGAATCAAACTTGTTCATTCAATGAAGTGACATCATGTGGCACAGTGATGAAAAATTATATATCCAAAATCATCATTCTAAATTTTTTAATGCCAGTCAAATTGCTAATAATTTACAGAGTATATGGCAACGAAAGAGCATGACTCTGGTTTAGATTTCATGCCATTTCTACATCAGCTTTAAGACTAGCGAAAAACATCACACTTTAAAAAAAAAAATCTGTGCATTGCTAAAGCTAGGCATGCATACGGTTTCAGCCAAGAACGTGCTGCAAAGCGTCTTATTGTTTCTGGAATTGTAAGGAGTTCACCGAAGGGTTACCATAATTAAGAATCAAGTTGCCATTAATAATTTGTTTAGTGGCTGGTTTGACTTTTAGACATTTTCTAAGACTAGTTGCTTTCATTGGATAAATTACAAGGGTATTCTGGTGACAAGTGGATTCCATTACAGGCTAAAGCAAACTAGGCAAGAGCTCCGTTTTCGAACGAGCCTCCCAAGATGGTTCATATCAAAGCCACGGCCGTATATCAGGGAATTCAATAAGTGTGGTTGACTGCTATCCACAAGTAATCAAAATATTAATAACAGTTCCCAATTTCCCTGCACCTTAATCATGTAAACGTAACTGTATCCTAACTTCGCTACGTAATAAAACCATGTTACTTAACATGCTACTAGCGACATCAGCAAAAACAAGCATATATCTTATGACTTGATTTATTTATCTTTTTCCTGCAGTGTTGTTTTTCACTTGCAATCATGTAATCAGTAAATTTTCCTTTGTACTGAACTTTCGCTGGTAGGGAGATAAAGGATAATAAACCTTACGCCCAGCAACCAGATTGACATTAATGATTGCATTTTATAACCATTATGCGTTAAATCATTGTTACTTCATCGCGAACTACGAATAGCCTATCAATCAGACGGATATATCAACCCCACGCTCTTGATCCCACACAGAAGATATTACCATAATTTATCGACCAAAGCAAACAAATAAACTAATGACATTTAAACGAACAGTGGTGAGTGGCAGGTGCTGCAGGGAGGCAACTGTCGTAATATAAGGCTAACCCCCAAAGGCTTTTTGTGATTTTGACATTAAGTTTAGGCAAATGTAACTATGATGTCTTAAATTTCAATTAGCTTTTCATTTCAAATTTCTATTAATATATCATTGTATCATATTAGATGTTCTATTTATATTTATTCTATATTAAATACTATTAATACTTCTGTAAATGATTGCAGTATTCCATGATCACATAGTTGATTCTCAGAACTGTTTTGTTGATGAGAATATTTTGATACCTGATTAGTTTGTTCTAACCATCTTCAGAAGAATTTACAATAATCAGGCTACTCAAAAGCAAGCATTAATTACAGGTTTAAAATTTGTTGTAAATTGTTGGTGTTATGATATAATTATCTTTTTTTTAATATTTTTAATTTTTGGTATGGTTTACTACACAATTTTTATAAAATAAATTTATAAATGTTTAAGATAAGAAAACCAGCACGCTCACTTTGAGTGTAAATGAACGATAAACGCTTTCGCACCGCAAGGTAAGGGCAGCCACTGGCGACCAACAGGCCTTTTTCGCTAAGCCCCGCCCCTTGGATTATTGTTGCCAAGGTCCTAAAATACAACCGCGTAAACAAACATACAATTCATTAAACCGTACGTTTGTGGGAACAACACATGTTCTAAGAGGACACCCACACGTTTCTGGCACTGTTCAGATTGGTCGGTTGTTAAATTGTCCTTTTTAAATACCTAGTACTACATAGCACAGCTTGTTGCATCTGGTTTCCACATGCAGAGGGCGATAGTTACATTATGGATACTATTTTTAGAACCAAGCAGAGCAAAGTGGAGCACTTTAAGGAAACGATGGTGATTTCTATGGTGTAACTAGGGGAGTGACGCATTTTCATATTGAACTGTGCTCTTTCCTTTCTATACTCCTTGCTTAAAGTTGTCACTGTATAACGATTGGTTTTAAGATACATTTGGCATGTTATAAGACTGCAGAAAATAAAATATGGGCAATTTCGGGGTGCCAGTACAGAAAGTCCGCTCTTAATGGAATTTCAATTATGACTTCTCAAGACCTCCATCCTATTCAGCGTTAATTAGCTTACATTGCAACTCCTATTCATTTTTATTGTTACTTATAATATTATTTAATATTTCTATTTCATTTTTTTATTATTTACAATTTAAAATTAATGAAGTAAACTCTTATGATCCAAGGATTGTCATTTGTGCTATCATAATAATAATAGATGGATTTATATAGTGGAAAAAAAACGAGGCCTACATGTGCTAGGGACTAGATGTTGCACTTTTCAATAACTTTCTCCTCCCCTGAGGGTCACTTCATGTCCTCTGCAGTCAGTAAACCGACGCACTTTCATCTGTCCACGACAGGGACTGAGTGAACCAGTACACCGGGGTAACCCCATACTTATCTCGAAAGGTGTACTGAGTTCTTTGAAGTGCACATGAACATTTACATACACTGGGCCTACTTCCTTATCCGAGAAGAATTGTTCACAATCAGAACTATAGGAGCGAGCCTACGTTAGCCTGTGCCAATATTGTTGGCTATGATCACTGTGCCCCTGCTTAACCAAGAGACAATAATTCCTAGTATAATTCACTTCAACAGTAGTTTATTGCTACCTATGCTGACTTACAGAAGTAGCAATTGAGCAATTTTTTTTCAATTTCTTTGAAAAACAGTTTTTTCCTATCAATCTAAAAATAAGCCACCACTTTCTCTTTCTTTCTACCCACAAGCTTGTTGTGTAACATTCATCATCAGTCTTTTAAATGCTAAACCTGAAGGGAGTTAGAATACAAGTTCGTATTTTTAGAAATAAAAGAATTAAAAAAAAAACAATACATATTAAAACTTTCAATCACACACACCAAAAAAAAAAAATCACAATATTTTGTGAATAGTGGAGACAGAGCTTAAGCCAGTCATAAAATGTAAGACAAACAGTTAATTTTTGAGACCTTGCTTTAAACTTTAAGTCATACAGACAAAAAATTTGTTTGACCAGACACATATGAAGCCAAGCTTACGATGTCGAACCTTGTTTGTTACACAATCATGGAGTCCGACAGAGTTTTGGCAGTGCATGTCAGACTTACAGTAATTAATTTCTTATAAAGCAAATTCAGAAAATCTTTCAGGAATGTATATCATCATACCTTGAAAATCACTTTGTAATTTTCCTCTAAAGCTCAATTAGATGCTACATTTTAATCGCTACTGTGACTCGAAAAACTAATAAAAAAGAATGACGCACATTAAAATCTCCTATAAGACCTTGAAAACACGAGCAAAAATCTTGAAAAATCACGCCAACATTTGATGAATGTGTCTGAGTAATCTGTTATCTTGGTTCATGGTATTTAAATATTTGTAAGATCACGAAGGTGATTAAATTTGCACTATGCAAGCTCAACATCATTATTATTATACTTAGTAAAAAAACTTAATAAAATGGATGCGAATGCTTTATGAATGCAAACAAACATGTGATAAATGTATGCTAAAAAATACATGCTAAACGCTAATCTTGATGAATGCATGCAAATACTTTCTTAATGCATGTAAACATGTGACGAATGAATGCCAAAAAATACATGCCAAACACTAATCTTGATGAATGCATGCAAATACTTGATGAATGCATGCAAATACATGATGAATGCATGCAAATACTTGATGAATGCTTACTAAAGCCTTGTTTCCTTAAAATCAATTTACTGTCGCTGCAGTGTTTTCAGTGCAACTGTTGTACTGCGTACCAGCCCCCAACGTAATCGGGAAAGCTTTCCAATTCGACCGACCAATCAGCATCGCCGAAAGCTGACGGCGATAGCATGTAGCGCTTGTATGGAAACCAAGCTTAGTGTAAGAGCGCATACAAACACTCCATTAGTATGGGAAATAGAACAATAGACATTAGTTTAAACGTGTGCTTTAACAAAAACAAGTATTCCAATCAAATCAAATCCAATCTGGTCATTTATAAAGCGCCTTTCTTTACAGATAAGAAGCGCTGAATATTAAAGTATTTCTTTACAGATAAGAAGCGCTGAATATTAAAGTATTAAATGGATCAGGGCGTAATACCTTTTTACTTCACAAAATACTTTTTCCCAATCACTCTCACAACATTAAGATTATATTTTACCTTACTATACTAAAAGTATTGCTTTTTTTTTAAATGATATACAGTAGTAATAAACATCATCAAACCACTGATAACTGTGTTTCAATAAAAATTGTATGTATAAAAGTTCTACAGAAATTTAGAGAAAACATTTCTGAATATATAAATACAAAACTTCTATATAGGAAAGTAAACATGTGCCTTATTCACTCTTGCAATTTATAAAATTTATATTTTCATCAACAAAATGACTTATTTATATGTACACTTAAATTTTTTTTGAAAATATATTTTCATTTTTAAATAAAAATGCAACTTATTTTTGATCAAATATTATTAAATTGGATATCACTCAGCAGGTAATAGAATAAAACCCCATTTTTTAAAATTATTCTGTATAACAATTTGCAATCAGTAAAAAAGAATTTTTGCAAGTATTCTTCTACTTTGCTTGATTGTTCCAATTGAAATAGACTTTTTTTTCTCTGCATTTTTATCTTCCTCACATTCAGTTAATGACCTTTTGAAAACCATTGTCAACAACACTCGAATGAAGAAAAGGCAAAATATAAATCACAAAGAAGCAGAAGTACAGTACAATATATATATATTAATGCCTGGATATAAAATCTTGTAAATCTGTTGATTTTGATCACGTTTCAAATCTGTACTTATAGATTTGAGAGACCTATAAATTATCTAGTCTCACCTTATTTTGTTCAGTTAGCTTTACATAATGTTTTCTAATATTTCACAAGTTAATATCTTTTTAATGTTCAAAACTTAAAATAGATCTTATTCGTAATTTTCTGTCAAGGGAGGTCAATAAATTCTGAATTATGAATTTTAGTTTAAGCTAGCACAAGCATAAACACTAATTTAAACGATTATGTATTGTTTCATTTATTTGATCTTTAATTACCCGCTGTTATTTATTGAACACGATGCATCACATACAAAAACAGCAATGTCAATTTCCCTTATGCAATTCAATGCCACTTAGTTGGAGTAAAATTAATAATTTTTTAGATAAACATACAGTTAAGTAAACTACTTGGTTGTATTACTTTGCTATTTTGTATAATTTGATGTAATCTCTTTTGGTAAGTAATTTGGTAATTGTGAATGATATTTTTTGTATCCTGGGATACATCAAATAAACATGAGACCTTGCAGGGTAAAATAAACATGATGCATTTGTTAAATTAGTTTAGGGTTTTTGTAAGTATTTGCATATTAAAATACTCATAACGGGAAAACTTTGTACCCTAAAGGCTCTGAAACTAAAGGAAGGATTACAACAACAATTTGTTAAAATAGACCGACCATTATAAAGAGCAAGCTTTGGATATTTCTTTTATTAAGTTGAAATTTAAAAAATTAGATGATTTATATGACCAACCCTTTGCATTCAACTAATACACTTTATTTAACCTGATGTAGCATACTTGGTCGGTGGACAAAACAAAGTGAGTGACTTATTCACTAATAATTATATTGGAGCTTAAGGCAAGACTTTTTTTTATACATTATTTAGCGAACTTGCTGCCTGCCAATAATGATGATTTAAAATAAAGTTAATATTTTATTTTTGGCCAATTAGCGCACTCCCTACCACAAAAAAATTGAAATTTTAGAAATTTAAATCTAAAAGAATAATATATTTCTTCCGAATTGTATAAACTGAAAGCATAACCAGCCCATTACTACACTGTTTACATTCACTAATAAAATATGTTTTTATTTTTCTCTCCATCTGGTTGTTTTTGGCAAAACCATTTGCTAAATAAGAAAACTAATTTTTTTTTTTCCCGCCCTCCTCTGACAATCTAGTCTCGTCTAGCATAGGGCAAATAAAAAAAAATGTTTAGCATCACTTTTCCACCTCCTGATATTTCCTCAAAAATGAGGTGTGAACTGCCCAGTTTTGCCTACTTGGCTATGTTTAATTTAATTTCATTATTTATTTGGTCCAATATACAAAAGTGGGAAGACCAGGGCCAACCAAAGTGAACTGAATCACTGTAGCAGTGCTGGTTGACCCATGCTTTCTTTTGATCTTTTCAACCCACTATTAATTCACCTCTTCCTCAGACCGATATGTACCACTCCACTAAAATTTATGATGATCCACTCACTAGTGTTTGTATAATCCTACTAACAAACAGGGAGACAGAGAGACTGAGAGATAGCAGTGAATACGCCTTAGCGGAGGTAATAAATAGACAAATTTAATTAACTTACACCAGGGAGTTTGCACCTGCAGTCTCCACACCTGACAGGGGATGCCCTTTTCTTCTGGTACAGGTATGTCAGTTTGCCACCTGTTGATAAAATGCACTTGATTAAATGTCAACTTGGAAATAACAAATGTATTCATCAAAAAAGGCACTGACAAATCTTTCTATATGGTGATTGTAACACTATGTGGAATTGCTGTGCAGGGTCAAGGGAATGCTCTAGACATAAAATTTACAATTATATTAGGTTCACATCGACAAAATTCATTTAGAATATATATATTTAAAAAAATATATTGCCAGGTGCAAAACTCAATATCCTTATATAAATATTTAATTTGTCAATATTTTGTCCAAATTGGAGAAAAAAACATGAGTGACAAAAATTTATGTATAATTCACAAGTACACCTCACTTGGTATTAATTTTTTGTTTTTGTAAAACTTAATACTTTCAACATTTAACATGGCATTTTGAATCTGCTAACAACAATAGCCTATGAATCACACTAGCTGACAACTACTTCAAAACAATGCAGTATATCATTGAGGGAAGTTCTCTTCAGAAATCCCAACCACTTCTCTTCAAAGTTTGAACCATAAATTAAAGTTAAATTCATTATTGTAGTGAAAAAGGGGGCTATCAGGTATTACTATTAACAGCGCATTTATTTCAGGTAAACAATCTGTCCATGAATTTTTATTTGGTCACTTTTAATTTGCTGCATAATTACACAAGCTTGAGGAACAAATTGTTATGTTTAAATTTGATTATGTTGTGAATAAATTATTGAATTGTACTGTAAAACAATGTAATTAAATACCATGAATTTTAGTCTTTAGATCAACTTTACTTAAATTTATTCTAATAAACATTCCAGTTTTACAATGAAGAAATATCTTATATGAAATATCAATAAAATTCAAGAAAAATAGCCACTTCTTAAACATAGAGACTATGTCCATATATGAGAATATGACATGATAGAGGGCAGCATACATGAATTCAGATCTTTCAAACATAAGCTCTATCCACACTAAATACAGTAGTTTTATGTGACAAATATAAATGTGATATGCCCATATATGGATCTAATGACATCACTATGTCCATATATGATAATATGACATGATAGAGGGCAGCAAACATGAATTCAGATCTTTGAAACATAAGCTCTATCACACACTATCTACAGTAGTTTTATGTGACAAATATAAATGTGATATGCCCATATATGGATCTGATATGACATAATCATGTCCATATATGGGAATGATATGGCATTACCATGCATGGGCAAATCATACATGTGTCCCATAAATCTTAAAGTGTGGACAGAGCACTAAATTGTTGAAACTACAGCTTACCTGGTGTCTTTGAACTTGAGATGTCAATCAGAAACAATGCAAGAAAAAAGGAAGAGAAAAAATGGATACAAGTTGAATGAATTAAATAAAATTTTGCTTACTTACAATTGACAAGTTTTATGCTTCACTAGATAAACATTAGGACTGCCTATCAATCTTGTTTTTTGCAAATTTCAATTCTACCACAGTACGTTGCGTGAATGACAAGAAAAAAATATTACATTCTATCATATCAAATATCATATCGTATCATATTACTTTTTTTTAATATGATTCTCATCCAAGAGGGAGTTGAATAACTGTATGTGGTGAGCAATAAACTTGAACAGTGATAACATTTGCAAGTTATAACTTTCAATTATAAAAAAAGAAAAACAAAACAAAAAATTGACGTTTAATGAAATTTTAATGTCTTTTTTGTTTATTTAAGCAATCCTTTTATTTAATTATTGTGTTATTATCTTGTTTTGTATTTATTGTCTATATTACCATTGTAGATAATTATTGTTGATGCGGATAATTGCCCTTGATGGCATTTGTAACTAAGAAAATTAACTGAATTGAAAAAAATTAAAATTGAATTATTTAGTACAGACATTAAAATATCTTTTTTCCCCTTTTTTTTTGTTTAAGCAATAATTTAATTTTAAATACAACTTGATTGGTCCTTTAAAATCCTTTTATTTAATTATTGTGTTATTATCTTGTTTTGTATTTATTGTCTATATTTACCATTATAGATAATTATTGTTGATGAGGATAATTGCCCTTGATGGCATTTGTAGCTAAAAAATTAAACTGAATTGAAGAAATTGAATTGAATTTGAAAATTAAATTATTTAGTACGGTATAAAAGATAAATAGATAAATACAACGGTAGCACAAAGATAAAATTGTCAGTATTAAAAATAAAAAATTGCACATTAAAATACTATTTAATAATTACAAAAAAATTACAATTACACTAAAGCAGTTAATTTACTACATAAGGTCTATAGAATTACTGTATTTAATTAACTCTGTAAGAATAACATATCATACTACTAAAATATGTTAACGAGCCTCATTTTGATTAACTAGATATATTTCTTATGGATACCTTTTCTAAAATTGCAGTGGCTATTGTTACACCAGTCTTAAATGAATTCCTAATTCTAATTGAATGTTATTATATGTATGCAATGGATTAGAACAATAACATCCAATCGAAATTATAATTAATTTAGGAGTAGTGCAACTATAGCCAAACTGCCTTTATATATAGTAATGTTGCAGGTTCTCTTCTACTTCGTTTGGTTTATTACAAATGAAATAGATTGGTTTTTCTCTGCATTTTTATCTTCCTTTCTTTTAGCTGATGATCTTTTTGAAGACAAGATCAACAGCGCTCGATTAAAGAAAGGGTAAAAATGTGTTCTTGTAGTTAATAAATTATTACTTTTATCAAGTATTTAGTAGTTATGCAGGTAATAATATACATAACATAACATTAAATGTAACAACTGACATATAAAAAGTGATAGAAATTGATTAAATTACCATACAATACCTTCTAATGAGGGGTTTCTTTTTTTAAATGCAACATATAAAAGTTTAGCTATTTTGACCTGTGCATGTTCATTAGTTTAACAAGTCATAAAACTTATATACTGTGGGATTTCTCCAATAATATTTACTCAACAAAGATTCCCTATGCGTCTATGCGTAAATCATTTGCCCAATTCAAACTGAATATTTAAGTAAAGATATCGCGTGGTAATTGTTTGGATCTGTGAGTGGGCCTTTTTTGTGTATTTGAACTATAATGCCCCTTTTCCACACATCAGGGACTAGCCCAGATCTGAAAATTGCATTGAAGATGTTCATTATTACTGGGACAAATAAAGTTTTAGGCCTAGCAGCAGTTAGCCTACGGAATCCCAAGGCCTATTAAAATAAATATTGAACAAACAAATCTTTTATGTAAAATTTAGTGTCTGTTATGGCCTTTGTCAAAGATTTGGCTCGCACTAATGCAGTTTTTGAAATCTGTAGGCCTAAGAAGCCTACACAGTAGGTCTTGACCTAGCCAGGCCTATCGCCTAGGTTAGGCCTACATGTAGGCCTAGTAAAAAAT